AGCGCCTGCAGGAGTCTGGGCCGGCGGCGGCTCCACGCCCTGTTGTTCTTGGCGGTGGGCAGGGCGCCGTGCAGAAGCAGCTCATTCATTCTTTTTCCACTTGTTGCCCGGCACTTGGCGTCCCGGCCGCCTGGCCAAGGCCTTGCGTCCCAGCACTCGGGCGGGCGGCCGCGCTGGGCCTGGCACGGGGCCGGGCGGAGTGGCTCGCAGGGTGGGGAGGAGGCCTCCCGCGGCCAGAGGGGACATGTGGCCACAGCGCTGCCCCGGGCCTGCTCGGGTGCCCCGCCCGTGCCCTTGGGCTCTGGGCTCTCTCAGCGCCCAAGGTCACGAGTGCACCACCCTCTGTGCTGTGCCACGTGCTCGGGGGTCCATGGGCCCTAGGAGAGGACATTCACTCACCCTCACGGTGAGTACGTCTGGGGTCCCCGGGGACCGCCCAGCACCTGTGGTCCGACAGCGGCGAGGCCATCGCCTGCGAGGGTCACAGCAGCACAGTCCCCTCTGCACTCCCCAGGGCTGAGCTGGGCTGCTCGCCCAGGGGGGGTCGAATGTCCCTGGCTCCCGGGAGGGTGGCGAGGGGCCTGCGGGCTGAGGGAAGCGGGGCGGCCAGGTGGGAAGCAGGCGGAGCAGGCCCCCGGGAGGGAGGGGCAGCGGGCAGGAGCGGCAGAGGCGGGAGGAGGTGCAGCCCTGAGCCCCAGAGGGCGCGCAGCACTGACAGGGCGCAGAACGCGCCTACTGTGCGCTCACTGTCATTCTCAGGAACTCAGTGTAGAGGCCTCTGCATGGCAGCACCGCACCGCAAAGCTTGCAGGTGGGTCTACCCACCCATCGTCCCATCGGCGCATCCACCGTCCCACCCATCCACCCACCCGCCCATCACGCACCCACGCACCCCGTGACTGTCCCTCAGTCGTCCGCTCACCCCGCCACCTTCGGTCCACCCCTGCCCTCACCCAGGACATGGGCAGCACGCCGGAGCCACAGAGGGGGACCGCATGGCGCACCCCAGTCTCCTGGAGGAGGTGGCCACGTGCGTCATGGCCCAGCAGTGCCCGCACAGTGTGTCCAGAACCTGACAGCGCAGCTGAGGTGGAGGCCACCCGTGGGCTGGGGACGGTGCGGGGCTGCGGTCCCGGGCCCGGTGGCGGTGGAGTGTGAAAAGGCAACCACAGAGGCCTGCAGAGCCCAAACGTGGCTTCCAGCTCTGCCTGTGGGCTCCCGCCGCCGCGGCCGCCTGAGCTCCTCCGGTCTGCTCCCCCCACCCAGCTGGGGCCCTCCCTGCTGGCACCTGCTCGGGGCGGTGTCGCTTTGGTGCCCCCCCCAGTCTCGTGCCGCTTCCCCGCCAGGAGCCCTGCGAAGGCCGCGTGCACCTTCTCCCGGCACCACGGCTGAGTGGCGCAGGGTGGGTCTGGCAGGGGATGGGGTTCGATGTCAATCTCAGCGAACTGGGATTGTCCTCTTTCAGGACGTGGCCCTGGGGCTTCCCCGTGGTCTTGGGCTTTCGCCGTGTGCCTGGAGCCCACGGCCTCGGGCCTGCTAGGCAAGCCTTTAGCACTCCTCAGCTTTTCCCTCGGGCTGTGGCGGCTCTGGCTTTACCTCCTCAGCCGAGCAGGGCCTGGGGAATAAGGCTCCGCAGTTCCTCCTCCCCTCTCAGGACAGATGCCCCTCTGTTCTGTAGTCAGTAGGTGGGGGAGCAGGGGAGAGGTGTCCACGAGCCCCGCGGTTGTCCCTGGAGCCAGGAGGGGCGGGGCCATGCAGTGCCACCCTCGGATCGTGTGCCCACCGAGAGCGCCCCATCCCCTGCCAGCCTGCTTTCCATGTGCAGTTCTTTATCTGCTCTTCAGTAGGCTTAACCTGGAGAAGGAAAACTTCAGGTTTGAATAAACTTCAGGAGGTAACAACAGAACAAAAAGATAGGGAAAAAAGGGGAGACACTGAGGCACAGAAAGGTTGAGTGACGTGCCTTAGGTCACACAGCAGTGCCCAGATGGAGACTCAAGTCCAGGATGCCAGAAATGATCGCCTTCCTTGCTATCCCTGCGGCCTCCCGTAATCTCAAATCCTTGGGCTCTGGGACTCCAGGGAGGACAAGAGGGAAGATTCGCCAAAGCCTGGTGGCAAAGCTTGGGGCATTTGGTGCTTGCTCAATAAAATTGTAGCCCTTATAGTTATTGTTATCATCTCCCTTTATGGTCACCCCAAGATGGGCTGAGATGGAAGAGGACGGGGCTATGGAGCCCCCAGCGAAGCGGAGCTCAGCGCCCAGCCCAGGCAGGCACTGCGGCTGGGTCCTGCTGCCGGGCTCCCACTTGATGGATTCCACAGCCCGGCTGCTGGGCCGGCCCGCTTTCCCGGGGTTTCACGGGGAGGCGCTGGCAGGGGGCAGAGCCGGGCGCCACGCGTCTCCTGGCCCAAGGCAGCTGCCAGGAAGGGCCCTGGGCCCCGGCCTGGCCGGGCTCCCAGAACCACTGAACCTGGTGGGGTGGGAAGGGGGCAGCTGGTGCGGCGGCCAGCGTGTGCAGTCTGGCTCCTGCCACCAGGGCCGGAGGGGCTGGGAGGCCCGATGGATGGGGAGCCGGGCACTGGGCCTGTGACTTCCATAAGGAATTCAGTCCTGGCCACAATCACCCTTTTCATAGGTGAGGAAAGGGGAGCACAGAGAGGGTGAGCAACTTGCCCATGGTCGCACAGTTTGGCCGTGTTCACCTGATATTTGGAGCCGGACTTCCAAGTATAGGGTGTTGGGGTTATTATTATGAGTAGTAGTGGGGACCCTAATTACAAGGAATAGTGACAGGGTTATGCTACTCCTAGGGGTACTCTTCCGGCTGCCCAAACTTCTCAGCCTGTCTCTTCTGTGCTGGACCAGGCCCCTGGAAGCCCCAGCAGGCTGGAAGGGATGGAAAAAACCACAGCGAGGCTGAGCTCCGGTGTCAGGGTTGGGCTGCAGGGGCATCCTGGCCACATCTTTCTGTCAGAACCCGGGGCTTGGGAGGGCTTCCTGGAGGAGGGGGCATCAGAGTTGCCCCTTGGAGGATGAAGAAAGCCACACAGGTGCGGGAATAGTGGACACAGAGTCCAGGAAGACGCCAGTGCGGTGTGGCCTTTGCAGGACGGGACTGCACCTGGAAAGCGGATTGCAGGTCGGGTGAGATCCAGAATCCAGACCTACCCTGGCCCTCTGGAGCCCTGCTGCTCAGGCTGCGCACTGTGACATCCCTAAGACCTCGGCCCCTCCTGGATTGCCGCCCCGTGCATCCTGCAGCCGGCCACAGCGCAGGTCACATGTGCGGAGCCCCAGCCCCGCTCCTGGCCTGCGGCAGGGCCTGGCTTCCATGTGTGCCTGTCCCGGCTGCAGCAGGCACACACAGGGCACAGGGCCTGGCTGCTTGCGGTTTTCCTGAGGCCTGGTGCTGGCCCCAGGTGCTGGCCAAGGAAAACAGGAGGTGAGCTCACGGCTGTGGCGCAGCGGCAGGGCGGGCGCCTTGGGGCTCACGAAAAACCCCGGGCAGGGTGGCCGCCCCCCGTCCACGCCTTCCTCCCACCCTCCATGGCTCCCTGTTGCCCTCTGAGGACAGCGTGAGCCGGCGCTGTGGCACCCCCTTTCCGTGCCCTGTCTCCTGCTTCCCTCCGAGCCCTAAGATCGCATCTCACCCTCTGGACCCCTCCCTCCCCCCACCCACCACCCCCTCGGGGGCCCCAACCATTTCTTGTACATCTCCCATCATAGCACCCCCACCCCTTTCCCCTCTGCTGCTCTGAGGCCCCTTTTCCATTCCGCCCCCTCCCCACCTCCTCCAGGAAGCCCACTGAGATTTCCCCGCAGCAGTGCATTCTCCAGAGAGCACGGATCTGGCCGACTCTGGGTTCCCTTCTGCTGTGCCGGGCGGCCTCAGGCCAGTCCCTTCCCTTCCCCAGGCCTCAGTTTCCCTGCCTGGAGAATGTAGGCTGTCCTGAGGGCTGGCAGGCCAGAGCGGAGAGGGTTAACAGGCTCTGGAGCCAAGGTGTTTTATAGCTGGGGAACACAGCTGAGAGCAGGGGAGATTTTCCTGATTAGCAGTGATTTTTTATTTTTATTGCTAGCCGTTCCCACTTTGCGGCTGCGAGCTGCTGGGAAGGTATGAGGCTGCTCAGGGACCTCTGCCCGCTGGAGCCGGCCTGCGGGGGGCTAACAGCCCCAACCACGCATGCGCCCCTCTGTGTAAACTTCAGGGGGCCACGGGCAGTCCTGAGGCCTCAGCCACTGACAAAGAACCCCAGGGAGGAGGACACTTCCGTGCCAGGGTCCACCCGGAAGCTGTCCTGGTGGGGGGCACACCTTTGGGTGGTGCAGGGGGCCGAGGGGCTCTGTGCTCACCTGCCCCTCCCCCACTCTCCGGTAATGACAGTCATCCACACGATGCTCTCACTTCCTCTGCGCCAGGGGGAAACTGAGGCACGGAGCCCCATCACTTGCCTCAGAATCCCTCACCACCACACTAGAGCTGGCCCAGGACCTCTTAAGTGCCAACACTCTGCCCCTGAGTGGGCGAGAGCTCGGCCACGAGCCACACTGCAGCCCTTCTAGCTGAGGCGTCCCGTAAGGCCAGGATTAACTAGGGAAGCATCGGGGACTTCCGCACTGAGCTACATTCTCAGTCCTTTTGTATTTTTTTAATTTTGAGACAGGGTCTCACTAAGTTGCTAAGTTTCCCAGGCTGGGCTAGAATTTACCGTCCTCCTGCCTCAGCCTCCCGGATGCTGGGATGACAGGCGTGGGCCCCCACGCTTGGCTATTTGCCTGGGTTTGAGCGTGTAGCAGGCGAGCCAGGCTGGCTGTTTCCCTGAGGGGAGCTCCGCGGGGAACCCCGGGACACCTCAGGTTGCGCATGGACCTCGAGCAGGAATGTGGAGAGGGGGCCCCAGCCGACCCTGCACGTGGTTCCTGTCATGAGCCCCCAGCCCCGCAGTGTTCCCTCCACGCGGGGGGCGCGGCCTGCAGTGCGCAGCAGCGCCGTCTGTTTACCCTTGAGGCGGGCTGGGCAGGGCCGGGCATCCTGGGCATAAATATGCGCCGCAGCCCTGGCGCAGAAGCTGCAGTGCCCCTCGTGCCGCGTCCCGCCATGGCCCACGCCGCCGCCTGTGTCTTGCTGCTAGCTCTGGGAGCCCTGCGCGCGACGGGCCAGGGCCAGGTCCTGCTTGGTAAGGGGCAGGGGGCACTGTGGACGCTGGGGAGACCAGGGTGCCAGCTCCGAGGGGCTCGCTGCGGGGCGATCGCGGGCTGTGGGGTGCAGAGAGCGGGGGTAGGGCCGGGCTGGGCGTCGGGCCCCTCACGGTGGCCAGGTGCGGGGGGGTGGGGACCCCGACCGACGCCGCTGCGCCCTGCCCGCAGGCGGAGACCTGGGCCCGCAGATGCTGCGCGAGCTGCAGGACACCAACGCGGCGCTGCGGGACGTGCGCGAGCTGCTCAGGCAGCAGGTGCGGGTCGGGCTGCGGGGTCGGGGTGCCGGGCGCGGGCCCGAGGGGGTGCGTGGGGCGAGGCGCGGGGGGCGCCCCGGGAAGGAAGCGGGGCGGGGCGGGGCGGGGCAGACACGGGGCGGGGGCGGCCCGCTGACCCGTCCTTGCGCAGGTCAAGGAGATCACGTTCCTGAAGAACACGGTGATGGAGTGCGACGCGTGCGGTGAGCGCGGCTGGGAGCGGCGACAGCAGCGACGGGGCAGGCGGGGAGGGCAATGGGGGCCCGAGACGGGGAGCGGGCCCGGCGGGGAGGGAGGGAGAGGGTGAGAGACGGAGCGGCGGGCGCGGAGGCCAGACGGAGGCCGTGGGGAAGCGGGGAGCCGAGGGAACGAGGAGGCGGCGTGCGCGCGGGGACTGGAGGGCCGGTCGC